CCGACCACAGGAGTCATACTGGAACTAACTGGAGTCCCTGGCAAAGGACCTGCCCAGAGCATCGTCAGAGGAGGTTCCTCTGGCAGGGGCAAAGAGCAGCCGTTTTTTGTTGGAAATGTATTCTGGAATTTTTGTATACACGATTTTGAAAAAGCTCGAAAACAAAATTCAGTGATGTGGGTGATACGGTTTTAGAAAAACAAGTTATTGGTTCATTTGTGGGCTTTCCTCATGTCAAAAGTTGTGCACGTATTACGTTAGTGTAGGTCGAGGGGTTAACGGTGGGGGTTGCAAGGAGGGGCTGTTTACGATCACAGATAACCGAAGCTGACCCATTGTTGGTTCCGTGAAGTGCGCCCCCTGACTGAACAGCCTCCGAGCCCCACAGGCCCACGCAGGTGCGCCCGCGGAATGGCACGAGAGTGACCGAGAAGGCGCGCGGAGGAAATGGATCGAGGGTGAGGCCACTGGAGCGAATGGAGGGGGAGCCCCTCAGCGTCTCTTGGCTCACCGTCAAGTCTCAGCTTCATTGCCCCCCCCCACACACACACACGCACGAAGGCAAGAGGCCAGACTTCCCCGGGAGAGAGGGGTAGAGGGCGGCGGGGCGGGGAGCAGGGGAGACAAATATTTCTAGGCCAACTGAGATGGCTGCATGTGGCGTGGTGCAGGCTATAGAGCAGACGTTGGGGAGGAGTGCGGGGAGGAGGCAGAGAAGGAGCACCGCCGCCACGGCACTCCGCTGTATTTGCATATCTCTTGCATAGCTAATCGCGGCGGAGGGCCCCTGCCCCGCCCCGCCCCGCTCTGCCTCGCCCCGCCAGGCTGAGCCTGGCTTTGCTTCGGCTCGGCTGTACGACCTGACATCTCGGTACATGTGCTCGAGACGCATCGCCCCACCCGCGTGTCGTCAGTAAGAAACATCTAGCAACAGTTTACACACACAAACACACACTCTCCCCTCAACCCGCCCCATACGCCCACGCGACAGCATGCGAGTAAGGGCCACACACAGAAGAACATGGACTTGCATTTCAGACTGAAAATGGTCCTGGATGTACCATTTAAATTGTGAGGGGAAGAAATTAAAAAAATAACCTAACCGGAAACAGATTTCCGAATCGTGCATTGCCCCCCTTATCCCTTATCCTCAAAGACCACAAACAAGGCAGAGGTCAAGACAGTTCAGCAAGACGGAAATAGGAAAAATAGACTATTAGCTTTCACTGAGACCTATTTCCTCGACCTATTTCCTCCTCCAAAGTTTAAAAAGTATACAGTGTGCCTGGTTTGGGTGGACCCATCGACCAGGCTGCTGAGCGAGGACGGAGGCAGGCTGCCCTAAGGGGCCGTGCCGCACCCGAACCTCGGCCAGTAGCGGTAGCCAGCCGCCGCCGACCCCCCGCCTCGCCGTGCCGTGCCGTGTTTACCGAAGAGGTTTTAACCTTCGGACCGCGAGACCGCGTGAGAGGAAAGCCGCGCGCGTGGGGGGAACGCAAAATAAATACGACGAGTGACAGACCGGCGAGTAATTAAAGTATTGGGGGCAGCCAGGGGCAGCTCAGGTGCGATCAAAGAGGTCCACGGTGCAAAAGAACCCCCCTCTCCGACCCCAACAACCCGCCCACCCCCCTTCTCAGCGCCGTACGCTCTGCTTGGCAAACTATTTCCCCGGCAATGTCAACGCGGCGACGCTGGCGGAGCACACCGCAAGAGCAGAAATAAATTGGGCTTCCTTTGGAGCGCCGAGCTCCCGCGCCCGCCGCCCTGGGCCCGGTACACAGACGGGCGGGCGGGGGCGGGTGGGCGAAGTCGCCCCACTGCCTTCTCTGCGAGTTGTCACCCCGCGCAGCCTCAGCCTGATCCCGCCCGCGCAGCCGAACCAGCCAGCGCCCCCGGGCAGCGGACGGAATATCACGCATGGATCTCTCTCGTGAGCCATGAAATCACGGCGGAAACAACGACGGGGGGCGCGCGCTCGAGTGTGTGTGCGTGTGTG